ACAGCGTGTGATTTAATAAAATCTTATTTAAAAAATAGACCCTGTGCTATTTTTAGTCCACCTGAATATGTATTTGCTTTGCTGATGACATTGTTATATTAACCAAAGCGGAAAGAACTTCATGGGTTGTCGGAACAATATTTGATGTATTGTTAGGTTATGGATGGACCAAAATCGCTTAACATTAAGAAATGATAAACGTTTTATATTCCTTTTTCTTTTAACTACTCTTATAGAATAGAGTTACCTCAGCTTGAAATTCATATCTGTCATCACTGCCAGCCGGTAATCAAATGCCAGAGAACTTGTAAATGTCTAGGTGTTCACATGGGGTCAAATTTAAAATTTGACTTTTACCTTAACTACATTGTTAACAACATTTAAAAAAACGATTTTTAAATTCTAGCAACTCCGAGAACTCATGCCAAGAAAATTAATTAAAACAGTTAAGCAACTCCCGCTATTACTTGAATTGAACTTAGAAACAAAAATAAATTTTATAAAAATATGGAATTTTATTATACACAAAATTTGTTTTCTATATGTTGTTAATCCTAACATTGAGTAAAATTTAATTAGATATTTAGTAGATATTTACTTCAAGTTTGTTTTCACTATTTTTAAGCCTTAAAGAAAATTGAATTGAAGAATTTGAATTTGTATGTAACTAAGGATACTTATGAACACTTAGTATCTATAGTTTATTTATATTTCAGCTATCGGCAAGCTACGTCATAGCTTAGATAGCTGTATAATTTAAATGATTTGTATCTAGTTAGATTGTGTACCGTTAGTTCAATATGGTTCAAAGTTCAATTTCATTTTTTAAAATTTTTGTATGTCAGTTAAAAAACAGCCCTTATTCAGAAGTAGAAAAAGTAAGGTTCAACGGTCAGCCGTCAGCAGAAGAAAACATCGCCAATGATTTTCTTGCGGATCTCGTAGGATTTAATCTGGAAGACTGTCCAAAACAGAGATAGAAACAGGAAGGAAAAGAACTAGAAACTTGACGAGGAACATCACGCAGAACCAACCTAACGCTAGAAAGTTTAGCATTAAAGTTCTGCTTTCCCAATTTTTTAAACCGGTCAGACAGAGATGGTAACGAAAATGGTGAAACTGGATTTTTTCCGTTTTATTGTATTTTTCAATCGGATGTCCTGTAAATATTGCCTCGCTATAGCTGCGATCGTTCATACTTTTTGCGAGGCAGCAACGCGTATGCATAAAATCAAAAAAAAATACTCGGATAGAGCCCTGTTAATCAAAATGTTTGCCATACATCTACGCCACATCCTAACCTATTGTTTGCAATGTCATAAAAAACGGTTCCACGGATAAAAAATTCATGTTGTTCAATTTCGATGGGGGGGGGGGGTAGCTTCTCAATTCAATTCAATTCACTTTATTGGTTGATTGGTTTAGATGCATTTGTCACTGTTTTAAGCTTAACATTATAAATTACTTTTTAGTCGAAAAGTTATTTCTTAAGAAGGACCTGTGGTGCCAAGTCTACAAAGCAGCTTCACAGTCGGTGCGAGGAACTTCTAACAATATTTCGATAGGGAAGGCGATTTACGAGGGTGGGGATAAAAGTTTCTGGCCTGACTGAGAGGTGGCTCCACTAGGTGTATTTTTGGAGCGGCATACTACAGTACCATTCCTACCGAGCTTGTATATAGATATAGGGGGCCGTTTATCTTATCTCAGAAACTATACGGGATGGAGCCAAAAGTTATATACAAAAGGTATTTGGGGTATTACAAACCTTTAATTTATTTTAATTTTGTATATACAGGGCAGTTAATTTTTATTGAGCGAATATTAAATTTTTAAAATTTTAATTAATAAATTGTTTTTTGAATTATATACAAAATTCTAAACTTATTTTGTGTATGTCTTATACCTAAGCCTAACCATTTTTGACATTTTCAATCTTATATGCGAAGAATGACGTAAAATATCTGCCAATTTCAATTTAGATTGTAGACAATGGACTCGAATAACGCATTGCATGGAAATTTCGATTCATATTAATACAGGGTACGTGAAAAATAAGATTTCAAATAAAATTGAAAAACTGCCAAAAACCTTTTTTTTAATGGAAACGACCTATTTTTAAAATTTTGTCACATTAGGCATTAAAAATTAAAGCAATTTTGTATAAGGTAGTATATGCCTAATATTTTTTATTTTTGAAGTATTTCCTTTTAAACAATGGTCAGTCACACAATAATCTGCTGTTGCTATATAAGTTCATTTAGTGTAAGATCGCTTGTAACTCATCCATCTTCTGTGCTCCTCTTTAGTAATTGATTAAATACGTTAATATTAATTAAGATTCTCTTCTAACTTCGCCGTTTGTATTCCTTGCAACAAAGCCTTTTCTTCTTCTTATTATTATTATTATTATTATTATTGTTATTATTATTCTTATTATTATTACTATTATTATTACTATTATTATTATTATTATTATTATTATTATTATTATTATTATTATTATTAAGTAACGGCAACGCTGTGAATGGGTGATTAAAAGTTTATTTGGTATGAGCTATAATATAGCCGTCTATGTGTATTGTTTAATGGCAGGGCAAGTAATACAAGAAAAAAGGTAAGCAGGAAGACGTAAGTTTTAGAACCCACATCAATCCTGCACAGATATTATCCTGATTGTAATGTATCATTAATCAGTTGATTCACTTTTGAAGAAGTTAATTATATAGAGTATGGTTAAGTTTATATGAGAAACCCATGTATGTATGTAACAATTAATGAGTTGCGCTAAAATCAGGGTAGCCGAAGAGTCAAATTAAAGTTGAAGAATGTATTATTGCATACCTGCAACAGTTCTCTCAAGCAGATGAGCCTCGATTTATGCATTGATGGCTGCTTAGTTACCAAAGATTCCACTCTTTATGTATAATGATTAATTTTAACAGCTTACATCTACAACAACCATATTATAATCGTTGCATTATAGTTATAATATTACTTTTTTTACCTTTACCATAGTGGAAAGCCAGTAAGAAAAAAAAAGTAAAAATACTTTAGTCCCCTTTGGATTTTTGATACCTACATTTTGATGCGTCTCCGTTTTGCGTTTATACTTTGCTCTTCGTAGGAAGGCAAGAAATGTTTCCTCAAAAAACTGCAATTAAGATACTTGTAACGTAAATCCTTAAAATCCCTCCGAAGTTAATAAATAAACCCTAAAGCGCGCCGTAGCCTTACGGGAGCAAATAAAAGGCTTACAATGAATTTTAATTGATCTAAAAGGGGCCCTGTGTTTAAAAGGATTTCGGCGGTGTTTGTGATCTTTTATTTGCTACATAAAAGGAAATCAACACGATTTAAATAAATTTCGCAGCTTATCTAAAGACGTAACAAAATTGCCGAATTTGCATAGCTATTTAAGGTTTTACTCCGCTAATATTTATGTTGTTCGGTCAAAGCCTTGTCTCGCGTAATTAAAGTCAGTTTATAACAGTACGTAGGCGGTTAATTTTTCGAGACATTGGCATAGAAAGTATAACGGAAACAAAGTAAGGTTAGTTAGGAACTTTAAAGAGTAGGAGAGAACAGGTTCAGTTTTAGTTCCGGAACACACAAGTCAGTCCCTAGTTCGGAACGGCAAGAATTATTTCCATAGCGTTTTTTTTTTTGTACTATTTGATTATTAGGGGTCGTAAATTTATTGTTTTATAGAAATACAGAAGAAATCTAATGTTGTTTTATTTATTATTTGCTAAACAAATGTAGACGATGCCGCAATGCATGTTACAGCAGATGAATGGAAAGAGCCCTTAAATTAACTACAAAAGAAACGTTAAAAGATATAATAGACTGCTATCATCACAAATATTGAACAATTAATTACTTAACTTAAGATCTTTCTGGACATCACGAAAGGCTCTCCTCATTGTGTCCTGTGAACTCTCTTACCGTTGCCTGCTTTTTATTGAGCACATAAGAAAATAACGACTGTGTTCGAAACCGGCGAGATGTGCGCAACGTGTTTACCCTTAAACCTGTTCACGTAACGTTTATGGGGAGTAAACTGGAATATTGATCTAACTACGAGGAATATACTTCTACTTTAGATAGTGTCCAGAATAAACGCGTTGATTATTCTCACATTCAGTTGTACGGATATTATCCTCCAAGGGATTTCATCAACTTTTGTTACTCCAAATATATGAGTCTATGAGATAAACGGACTTTTCTATCTGCGACCCCCTGTATAAAATCGTTAATAATATTGACTGTCCATCCCCTATTTCCAGGCCATAATTCACTTTGCTGACATTCTTAAAGACATGTAAAGAGAATCTTAAGTGCAATTTATTATTTTTTTGTTTTTATTATTAATACTATGAACAATTTTCGATTTGGGATAGGTTTTAGATGTAATTAGTGAACTGCCACTTATTATTTTATCGCTCTGTATGTATTTTTCTGTAATTGTAACATCCAGCCGAACACATTATCTATATCCGTGCTTGTTCCCTTAAAATTAGTGACAGTTAACAAGATTGTATTGCTGTTTGAAAAGCTACAAAAATGATAGTTCTGAAAAAAGGAATAAACTTAATACTACCAGATTGTAAAAATACTGAACTATTACTGGTTAAATAAAACCAACAATTTGGGGTTTGTTTTTTTTAATTTTCGGTCAAATTAGTTTTTCAGGAAGTTTTTCTTTATTTGTTTTGCCTATATTATATAGATATTTTTATTTTCAAAATTTCAATTTATAAACTTACAAAATCGTTCAAGCTGCACGTAAATCAGCTTATTGTGTTCGTACATTTTAATAACCTGTTATTATTATTTGGTTAATTTGTCATTATTTTATATGGTTTTCCGAATGCAGTGACAATCGTTTTGATTAAGAACCGAATACGTCCAAAGATTCGCGCCAATTTAAAGTTTCCCGCCAAAAGTGTCCTAGAACCGTCACAGCTATACTACTAGACATATATTTGCTGTTTCAGGTGGCATGGATTCACATCGATCGACAAATGATTCTGACTATACATCGTCACGTGATAAGTCGAGTGCCGCGGTTCAGCGTGTCGCACGATAACGCGAAAACGTGGCTACTCCACGTGAGCAGCGTCCAGAAGGAAGACAGGGGATATTATATGTGCCAAGTAAACACGAACCCCATGATAAGCCAAGTGGGATATTTGCAAGTAGTAGGTGAGTTAAATTGCTTAATTGTTTAAAAAACGATAAAGTGAAATAACAATTGAAAGTAGACCCAAGGCCGCAAGACACCGGATTTTTATTTTTCGCAAAACTTGTGAAAATAAATTAGAAATTGCTGAAACGATTTCTTAAAATTCGATTGTCTTGACTCTCTCTCTCTCTCTCTCTCTCTCTCTCCCTCCCCCCCCCACTCTATTTCTCGCTCACTCTCTGTTCCATTTTCCAGTAAGCAAACAGGACAACTGTCGGACATATCTTACTATCTTACTTATTTTCCCTTGGAAATTCCCTAACCCTTTTTGTTTGATACATGACCTTTTTGAAAATGTCGCCAATTATTCATCAGTATCAAAAAGTTTTGGCCAACACGTTTTGCCACGAAAATACAGAACATTATGAAATGCAACAAACTGAACTTTATAGAAACTTCAAGAAAAAAATAATTTTGGTGTGTTTTGGTTAGTAACGAAATTGAGATTGGTTGATAACCATGAGGCATCATTTTTAAAAATGGTACAAAAAGTCAGACAAAAATTGAAATCAAAGTATTACTTATAAAACCCAATTTTTGAAGACTCAGTTCAGTTACAAACTTGTGTTTAAGTAAAACTATTGAAATTTGCCATTATTTCCAATAGATAACATATGATTTTTGAAGGTTATTGTTACATTCGTTGCTATTCAGATTTGTATCGTGTTGTGTATATCTCAGTTTGCATAAAACGTGAAAATGCTAAATTTCAAAACTATCTATTTTTTATTTTTGAGTGATATCATTCATAACTAATAAATAAAAAATTAAAAAATATCTTTAAATTTCTAATTATTTTTTGATATCAATAGACCAGTTAGAATGGTTGTTGGGCATTAAAAACGAAGATATCGGCCACCTAAAATCACCAGAAAGATTGTCTAAATATACCTTGGTACCTAAGTGGTTTGTACTTATTTTTATCCAAAGATGTTCTACCACCCCCGTATTACAAAAAAGCACAACAGTACATTATGATAATATTAATTTACAAAAATAATTGACACTGATAGCAGTTTGGGTCGATTGTTCTGTTAATTTCGTTTGCGATTCCTTCCACAAACACTCTCTTTGCAGCTTTCAAATAGTTATATTTTGGTTCCGTATTAACTTTTGGTTTGTATCTGAATAAGCAAGCCAACATCAATGTTCCCAGCAAAGATCACCGTACTAGAACACTGTGCAAGCGAAATAAAAATTAAAAAGGTTCGTAGTTAATCAAAAGCTATGCAATCCAGAAGAATAACAGCCATGACAGGTCAAGAAAGCTGTATGACAAAGTTACAGCAGAGCTGCTAAGGTACAAAAGAATAATGACGGCCCACCGCCGGCTTAAGAGGCATCTAAGCGTAAGGGGAGCCGAAGAAAACGACGAATCCGGTACCATTCAAGAAGAAAGTTATCGGGACAAGGTTTAACCGAATGAGCTACACCAAAGAGTCACTGATAACGCCTGAACCTAGATATATCTCTATGGATAGAGTGGCAATAATCATCTGCCTTTCTTCTCGTTCTATTTCTTGCTATTTGTTCCCAGTTCTCTGTATCATCATTTTTAGATTTCTCTAAATATTATTTTCAGTGCTTATAATCAAGGGCGACCAACCATCGCTCTTATCTCACTGCATATGCGTTTTCCCCACTGGATTGTTCTTGGGTATTTTCAAAAAAAAAACTTTTCCATTTGTAACCACCGAGCCCCTGGCCACGCGTTTCATACATAAAATAGATTACTAGTTTAATACTATTTCTCTCTTATTTCGCTCGCCGTTCGTTTTCCGTTGCATCCTTTGTCCAATATTTCAAATATTGACAAAAAGGAAGATAAAAAGTCCGTCGGCGTTCAGATCGAACAACTAAAAACAATATAAACCGAACGGATCGGTTTCTTTTTGTCCGCTTCACAAGTATCTTTCATCACGGCGGAGACTAAACTGTTTCCTTATGTCCGGTGCACGAAACTCCTCCATTTGTCAACATCGAATATTTATTCGTATTCCGAAACAACGGCAATTTGTTTCCCCTTGAACTCGGTTTAATTTCAACACGCTTCGAACTTGAACGGTTCTTGTAGAAAACCTGATTGGAATTTGTTCACTTAATTGATTTATGTTGTAACGTTGTTCGCGATATTTCAGCAAGTACCGCTAGTTAATTAACGTTGCGTGGTTATTTAGAAGAGTCGAGTAGAATTGCTGCGTAACATTTTTACCTTTGCTTAAACTCCATTTCGAAAAGGTGTTTAGTAAAAAAACTTCCGATAGGTATGCAAATTGACTACGGAGTGACCCTCGAATACTGTATACTTATTGTGCCTAATGCTGTCCCGGTAGGATGCTTGTAAGGGGGTGTTTTTTTTTCGACGTATAGAACTTTAAGTTGCAATAAAACAACGATGAATTATTCGATTGACATGAATTTTATTTATCCGAGAGATAATCTTGTGGCATTACATTTTAAATATGATTTCTGGCATATGACCGCCACGGCTTTCGCGGATGTAGTCCAATCTGGACGTCCAATTTTCGATGACTTTTTCCAACATTTGTGGCCGTATATCGGCAATAACACGGTGAATGTTGTCTTCCAAATGGTCAAGCGTTTGTGGCTTATCCGCATAGACCAATGACTTTACATAGCCCCACAGAAAGTAGTCTAGCGGTGTTAAATCACAAGATCTTGGAGGCCAATTCACAGGTCCAAAACGTGAAATTAGGCGGTCACTAAACGTGTCTGTCAATAAATCGATTGTGACACGAGCTGTGTGACATGTTGCGCCGTCTTGTTGAAACCTCATCTCCTGGACATCATGGTTATTGAATTCAGGAATGAAAGAGTTAATAATCATAGCTCTATACCGAGCACCATTGACTGTAACGTTCTGGCCATCATCGTTTTTGAAGAGGTACGGACCAATGACTCCACCAGCCCATAAAGCGCACCAAACAGTCAGTTTTTCTGGATGTAACGGTGTTTCGACATACACTTGAGGATTAGCTTCGCCCCAAATGCGGCAGTTTTGATTGTTGACGTAGCCATTCAACCAGAAGTGCGCGTCATCGCTAAACAAAATTCGCTTATGAAAATCGGGAACAACGGCAAACTCGCTTTGGGCCCATTCGACGAATCTACGCCTTACTCGATGAATTCATGACGAATTGCCAAACCAAACTGAGAATAAATCACTTGACAGCTGTTAAATCGGTCGCCATCTTGAACAGTAATGCCAACTTAAAGTTCTATACTTCGAAAAAAAACGCCCATTAGAAAGGAGATTTTTTTGACAAAAAGAAAGCTAGGCATTTTGTACCCAGCGTTGAATTTATATTGATGACATTTTAATTGGCTGTACCTTTTTTGTTTTTAGAGATATCAAGGTAAACAAAAAAAAATTGGTTTAGTAGCCAAGTTTTTTTCGAAGTGACGTATAACACAAGATTGCTTTTGAGAAATCGTCACTGGGCGGGACAAGTTCGTAGCGCGTAGCGCGAAGCAGCTTTTTATTATAAAACAAAAAAGAGCTTAGCGGTTTCGTGTGGTAAAGGGACGCATTGTTTTTCTATCGTCCTCCTATGCAACTCTCAGAAAATCGATGTAATTTAATTGTGCATGACCCTGTATAAAACGTCCTTCACATATCGTCGAACTTCAAAGTTACAGCAAAAATCGGTTAATATTAAAATTGGCACAAATAATAGCGTTGTCAAATGATATTTTTTCAAATATCTCGCGCCCCGTATAATTGACGAAACCTGAAACTCTTTCACGACACGCTTTGCGATACTGTTCAAATGAAATTATCCCATCTTTAACGGTTTTTCATTTATCGCCAATAATTTACCCACAAAAACTGATATAGGATATTTTTGATTTTTTACTCATAAACGACACACCCTGTATATGATACAATCTTGTTCAAAGTAGAGGTTATTACCTTGGATTTTCCACGCGTCCTGGTTCAATAATTTTTTGAAAATAATAAATCGTTTTCGAGAAAATAAGTTTTTTCTGAAACCATGCAGTGCGCGTAATAATCTTGACAACCCCCGAAATAACGATTTCAAGCCATTCTGCATTCTGCTGACTTCTTCGTAGCGCTTTTTGAAAAATTTCAGTCAATCAAAGAACTTAGGCGAGAATGCCTTCAGCCACTATCAGGGCCTCTGATCAATTTTCAGAGAAGACTGAACCACATGCGGGGTTCTTCTAGGGGAGTCTATCAATCCATATCAAAATTTTGGCAGATTGTTGAATTCTTTAGACAACTCGATGCGAGTGGCCTCCAGATCTTCTTATTGAAGACTGACATTAGATGCAAGCTTAAAACTCTTGACAAATAAAATCAGTTGAACAAATGTGTAGTTGATATCCCATAAAAGTTTATTTTGCTTGGTAAATAATAATCCATCCATCTTTAGGAGTTTTCTTTTCTTATCTGTTGATTTTTTGCATTATTGTCTGGGATTTTCGCTATTTTGAGATAATCAAAAAAATAAATAACTTCTTCCTATTTCCTATGTTTTCGGAAATATTTCCAAGTATGCGACACGATCGGTAAATTTTTTAAGTCACTCGTTTATTAAACACTAGCTCCGCTCGTGTCCAATAAACTCGTGAGTCAAATGCCGTTTACCGTACTTGTTGCATAATATACTATTATTGATATTGTAAGAAATGTTCGGAATAAATGTGGATAAAAATGACATTTTAAAAAGAATATAAACCATGTAGGCTACGGCATATCTGAGGAAGTAGGTATAGATTTGTGTTGCTGAAAAATTGAATCTTGTAACGTAGGGTTGAACGTTTATTTTCCTATCTATGTGATGTTTCTTGACTAATATATAAATCAAGAGAATGTCCTCGGTCCTCGTTACATAGGTGCTCTGTTTCAGCAATCAAATATCTGTCGGCCTCTTTGTTAAGTCGAAATAACTTAACAAACTTGCTATTAATGTTG